GCATTAAGAGGATTTGTGGTCATTAAAGGTTTCAGAAAAATGTAATCTTTGTCATGTTTAAGTCTTAGAATATTTTGCCCAAGATCTTCCAGTCCTTTTGCGGTCAATCTCTCAAAAATGGCTTATGCCAGCTGGTTCCATTCTGTCCTTTTTTACCTAAGGCTTGTCTACACTAAGGATATACGTTCGCCCCTCTGTTTTTGTGGACTTGAAGTCTGCGGTCTTGATTCTTTGCGGAGTGGCAAGCCATGCATGGCCACGCACTCTTGAACATTAGCAAATTTCGGGTTTTTTTGGGGGGGGGGTGTTCCAGAACAGATCCCTGCAAAAATGGAGGAGCAAGTGTACACCTGATTCACCCCAGTTCCAGTTTGATCTGTACATCAATATCCACAGCAAAACCATTGTTTTAAGCCAGGGGTAGGCAACCTAAGGCCCGGGGGTCGAATGCGGCCCCCCGAGGCCTTTGGACTGGCCCCAGGCTGGTCCTGCTGTCGCCGCCGCCGCCCCCCGCCATGATGATATTGATTATTGTTGTTATTAATTGTTCTTGGGGTTTTCTTGGCAAAATCTCCACAAGGGTTTTGCCATGGCTTTTCTGGGGCTGAGAGAGTGTGCATGCATATTTTTTAAATTTTCTATTTTTATTTATCTATTTATTTATTTATTTTTGGTGCTTCGGCCCCCCAATTGTCTGAGGGACAGCAACCTGAATCTGGCTCAAAAAAGTTGCCTATCCCTGCTCTGGAGCTTCCAGGAAACTCTGGAGTGCCTCCAGTTCTCTTAACTGTCTGGATAGGAACAGCCCTGGTGGTGCAGTGCTTGAATGCTGGTCTTGCAGCCACAATGTTATGAGTTGGATCCCAGAGGGCTCCAAGGCCCACTCAGCCTTCCATCCTTTTGTAGCTTGGTAAAATGAGTACACAGCTTGTTGGGGCCATTGGTTTACACATTGTAAAGAACTGAGTTCACTATGAGTGTTGAGTTCACTATGAAGCGGTATGGAAATGTAAGCTAGTGCTACAGCTGGATCAGGTCAGATGTAGCCCAAACCAGTTGTCCAGACAGCAGATGTGGTGTCGTCTCATGTACCATGCTGAGCAGCATGGGGAAGGGGATGGATCCTCTTTGGAGCTCCTCACCAGCCTGCGAGAGCTTGGCTATCGCTGTTGCTTCTGCTGCAATCAGAATGGGGGTGCCTTATATTGGGGATGCCACATTCTGATATTAGAAGTGATGGTCAGGCTCTCACAAGGTTGGGAGGTGGCAGTAGTGACACCAAGGGGGATCGGCCAGTGAGGGCTGATGCAGTGCCAACCTAGTTGGCCCATGTGCACAATGACGTACCATCACATCAGATTCAACCCAGTGTATGTGGATGCCATTGCAGTCAGACTGGGACAGAAGGTTCCCAACTGGCTGCGAATTACGTGGCTGGTATAGATGGGCCCCTAATCCTGAGAGATAATGCCTCCAGGTTGGATGATGGCTATTCTTTTTTGAATGAACTAGGACAAAACTGAAACACATTGGCTCTTAGTGTTGAGGAGATGGAAATCCCAAATCTTTTTCCCCTTGCTCAGAAATAGACTACAGGACTGACTAGAAAGCCATTAACACAGTCATGACTTTGACTTTCGCAAATGTGATTATCTGCAATTTTGATTAATATGTTCTAAGAATCTCTAGGTCCTCCAGCGCAACTCTGCCAGAACTTGATCATAGAGTTGTGCTGGAGCACCTAGAAGTTCCTAAAGAAAACACTTCTCTAGGCATTTGTAGGTCCTCCAGCATGATTCTATGATCACCTTCTGACAGATCTTGACCACAGAGTTGCACTGGAGGACCTGGAGATTCCCAGAGAGGTGTTATCTCAGGTAAAAGGAATAGTATTATTTTTTTAATTTATTTGAGCTTTTCCCACATTCACTGAGGCCCTTCATCCCTAACCCCAGCGAATGTGGAAAGACCATCTGTCAGGGATGCTTTGAGTTCCTGCATGGCAGGGGATTGGACTGGATGGCCCTTGTGGTCTCTTCCAACTCTATGATTCTATGACCATTGTATCTATATTCCTCTCTTCCTTGAGATACCATAGGCTTCACAAATAATCTAATTTGCTTGCATCATAGGGCTTTGGGTAATTTGCTCCACCAGAATCTCTGTCATGGGGAGCTCCTGACACAGTACTGAGTGACCTGATTGCTTCTAATTCTCCTTAATGCTTGAGCCTGAAGACTCCTATCACCCTGTGAGCCTGTTTGAGTTTTAAGACCATCAAGAGATGAGTCCCAGCATTGTTACAGACACATTGCATGACAGCTACTGCTAAGACTGGGAAATTCTCTTCCGTAAACAGCTAGATTGGTCTCCCTCCTTTTCTGCTGTTGGATTTTTACTGAGATTGGCTTTTAACCAATGCCAAAGGATCCTTCAATAGGACACATGTGCTTTTCATTTCTCAATTAAATTTGAAATCCTTTTAAAACGCTTTTAAAAT